CTATATATATTTCCTGCCTTAGCTTTAGACATTTGAGAGCTCTTACTTTTTCCTTGTATCTCTGCTTTTTAAGAAACCACTTTACTGAGGCAGGATTAACATACAAAAGGCTGTAAATAATTCATGTGTACAACTTGATGAATTTGGAGATAAGTATACACCCATGAAACCATCATCAAAGCTATGCCATAAGCTTTTTTTTTTTTTTTTTTTTTTGAGACAGAGTCTCACTCTGTTGCCTGGGCTAGAGTGCCGTGGTGTCAGCCTAGCTCACAGCAACCTCAAACTCCTGGGCTCAAGTGATCCTCCTGCCTCAGCCTCTCAGTAGCTAGGACTACAGGCACGCACCACTGCACTCAGCTAATTTTTCTATTTTTTTTTTTTTTTAGTTGTTTGGCTAATTTCTTTCTATTTATAATAGAGACGGGGTCTTGCTCTTGCTCAGGCTGGTCTCAAATTCCTGAGCTCAAGCAATCCGCCCTCCTCAGCCTCTCAGAGTGCTAGGATTACAGGCGTGAGCCACCACACCCGGCCCTGTCATCTTTATTTATGATGATGGTGGTAATGATAAGAACATTTAACATAAGATGTACATATTTATTATTTTTTTGAGACAGTTGTCTTGTTCTGTTGCTCAAGCTAGAGTGCAGTGGCATCATCACAGCTCACTGCAACCTCAAACTCCAAGGGCTCAAGGGATCCTCCAGCTTCAGCCTCCTAAATAGCTCCCAGCTAATTTTTTTTTTTTTTTTTATAGAGATGAGGTCTCACTTTTTTGCTCAGACTGATCTCAAATTCGTGGCCTCAAGTGATCCTCCTCACCTTGGCCTCCCAAAATGCTGGGATGGTGTGAGCCACTGTACTTGGCCCTACTTAAATTTTTAAATAGACAATACAGTATTATTGAATATAGGCACTATGCCACACAGCAGATCTCTAGGACTTATTCTGCTTGTATAATTGAAACTTTGTATCTTTTGTCTAATACCTCCTCATATTAGACCTCTTCAATCATGAAGAGTGTCTGGACTTGGGGATAACCTCATAGTCCTATTGAAAGTCATAGGGCTTTTTAAAGTCTTTTTTTTAGCCCTGCCTAAGCAAGGCCTCAAAAAATTTGGTTACCAATTCACAGTTGTTGCTCTCCATGGAAACCTTTAGTAAAAGGCAAAAGATTTATGCGTTCTGAGGAGAAACCAGAGCATGAAAGTTATAGCTTTATCTTCTACAGGGGTAATTGTGCATAGTGGGCTAAGTCATTAGTCTTTCATTTATATAAAATTAGAGAAGTTGGAAGCCTACATTTCTATTTAAAAAGCCGACTTTTTAGAACACCAACTGATTTTGCAGTGGCTAAGAAATAAACTGATGTAAACACAAACACTGAAAATATGAATTAACAGCAGAGCAATGGCTTTTTAAAGCAGAGAGAGTTGATAAGTAAGTTGCATGGAACAGGATTGCCAACGGGGCATTTCAATATCTAAAGCTCAGGGCAGGCAGGGTGTTCAGAGGCCCTGAACATATCCCGTTATGCAATGCAAAGTGCTGGAGGAACCTGTGTTCAACTTAGAGTCAGCAGTGTAAGGGCTACAACTTTTCACTGAATTGTTTATGTTTCAGGTTACTTTGTTGTTGGTCACATTTTTAGATACATCAATTCACTTATCCATTTTGTATTTATTTATTATAGAATCCAGGAATGAGAACTGAGCATGGCCTATTTGGGCTAACAGAAGTACACATGAAGTGAGATTTTTCCAGTGTCATGCACTGAGCTATATACTACCCTCACGTTATCTCCCTGAATCCTTACATTATCCACTTGATGTGGATATCAGTATCTTCATTCTACAAAGGAGAAAACTGAGGCTTAAATAGGCTGGGGAACTTGTTCCAGGTTACTTAGCAAATAAGTTGTACAGCCAGGATTTGAATCTAAGGAGGGCCCTCACAGCCAGTTGGTACATTATTATATGGACAATTTGTAATTCTGCAGATCTATATAGTCCTTTTAGGTGTTTAAACTAGGGAATGTCTTGATGAAATGGATTGAAGATAGAGCTGTCTGGTGGCATTATACAGGGTTCACAGAGATAGGAAAAACTGGAGTGCAGAGAGATGGGGTAGAAGGTTGTGGCAGCAATCCAGGCATTGGAGATGAGTGACCAGAGGTTGGAAGTAGAAAACCTGGTGCTAGCCTTGTTTCTGCCATGCTGCTGCTGCTGGGGAACCTTAGGCAAGATACAGACACATCTCTGAAGCTTTGTTACTCCTCCCTAAAATGAGTTGACAAATTGGGACTAGAAAATCTCTAGGTTCTTTCAAACTCCAAAATTCTGCCCAATGCCTTTAAATTGTAATGCATTCTAAAGATTTAGATATGAAGACCCTAAATATCATCCTGAATCCGGAAGAGAATTCAGATGTAATAATTCTCAACATCATCTTCTTCTCAAAGTACAAAGGAATAGAACTGGCTTTGCTTTCTAAACTAGATTATATTGAGACAAGCCAATCATTTCTGCATCATATTGTTTTCTTTGTTTAAGAAAATGATTTGGGTATTCCTACTGAAGCACTGGTTGATGATATTAAAATCAAATAAGAATATTACTCTTGAAACAAATGAAATGATTTAAACCTCTCTCTCTAAGAAATCTTATGAAAATATACCTAGGAGGCAAATATTATGTTGTCATCAAATTAATTTGTTTCCTAAGCTCAAATTTAATTTAAAATGAGATATTTCTTCAACTGGTTCAATCAAGAGACTGTAAAGTGATTTTAGATAGAGAACACAGGAAATACAGTATAATAATATTGATGCAAACAATGGGCAAAATAGTTCAGTTGTTCTGTTGCTTGTGATGCTTCTAGAAAGTATTTTTAATGACTTCCTGATGAATTGGCTCAGGTTCACCTCTGGCTTACATTTGCAAACTTTTTCCCATCTTCATGCCCTATAACAAATCAGTCTCCAAGACTCCTGAGTTCTTGGTCTCAGTATTTCTCAGGACTGATCCATTCTCATCCTTATAGACATGGAGTTAGGGTTTCTCCTTATAATGACCTACAGGGCAAGACATCTTCTGGAAATAAAGCTTTCATCAAGCCAGTTCTGCTGTTAAAACCTTCAGGGATCCCCTTGCTTCTAGGATGAAATCTAAATACCACAGTTGAGGTCCCCACTGCTTCATCCTGCCAAATGCATTAATTTTCTTTACAGGCTTTTTTTTTTTGAGACAGAGTCTCACTTTGTTGCCCAGGCTAGAGTGAGTGCCATGGCGTCAGCCTCGCTCACAGCAACCTCAAACTCCTGGGCTCAAGCGATCCTGCTGCCTCAGCCTCTCGAGTAGCTGGGACTACAGGCATGTGCCACCATGCCCGGCTAATTTTTTCTATATATATTAGTTGGCCAATTAATTCTTTGTATTTTTAGTAGAGACGGGGTCTCGCTCTTGCTCAGGCTGGTTTTGAACTCCTGAACTCAAATGATCCCCCCGCCTTAGCCTCCCAGAGAGCTAGGATTACAGGCGTGAACCACCGCACCCGGCCTCTTTACAGACTTTAATCCTCCACATCTGAGAATTGGCTACTTGGAATGCTTTGCCTCTTTTCTCTGCCAACTCGTGGCCATCACCTCTTTCAAGTGTGTCTTGAGATTCACTTCCTTCCGGATGTTTTCCTTGTTTAGTAGCTACTTAGCAAATATACAACTCCTGTTTTTGAGCTTTTAATCACATTAAGTGCTTTTAAGATAAATTATCCAAGTCTGGGGATAAACAATTTACAGAGATTTTCATTCTTTAAGAAATCACACAGAGTGATTTTACTTTGTGTGAGAGAGCACTCCAGTTTTTAGCTGTCTGCCTTTTCACTGGGGATCCACACTACAACCACAGCAAAATAACTCTTTATGGTGACCTCTAGCGGGCACGAGACAATCCTACAAAATTATGAAAAGTAGAGGGCAAAGTAAAACCCTTCCCAGTAACCAGCCAGGTCACTCTGCCATCAGACGGCCGCATCCCACCCCAGCCCACCCTTGTTATTATTTGTTTTCCAGTATTCGTTTTGCATCTAACGTAGTATGCCTTACAACTCACCTGCTTCGCCTCTGGCGGGCTGGGCTGCCGGTGTCGGATGTCGTGTGAATTGTTCTAGCAGTTTAAAATAACCCCTGCCAAGTGGCACCCACGCCCTGGGCATGGGCCAGAGCGCGGGGTAGTTCGCTCTGCGGAGACTTAAGCGTCCCTTCATGCTCCAAAGGCCGGTGCCGCAGCCAAGTCGGGTGTATGGGGGAAATCGAGACATTTTGAAAAGGAGGGTGCAAACGAAGGCCATCAGAAATTATGTTTTTGCCCGTGGTAAGGCGAGTCTCCTCAGACTTTCGCCCCACTCTATGGGAAGGCGCACGCGAGGGTCCAGGCGCGCTGCGCTCCACGTAGGCGCCCCCTCAGGACCGGCGCCCCGGAACGCGGGGGCCGGGGTGTGTGGCCGCCTTCGGAGCACGCGGTACGTGGGTCGCCCCGCGCGGGGAGAGAAAGAGCAAAGTCGCCAGCAGAAGCAGTGGCTGGGATGCCTTCTCTGAGAAATCCTTTAGGGCGGTCTCAGAAACCGAGCTGGGCTCCGGAGAGTTTCTGGAAAAAGCTCTCCTAACGCCGTCTGTCCCCGCCCCTCCAACCCCGCACCCCAGTTCTCACAGGGTTTTTAACAAGGGCTGTCAAGAGGGCCTCCGGGGCTGCCCGAGTCGTCCCGATGGCCCGGGGTGGGACGCGGGAGCAGGCACCCGGCCGCTGGGCTGGGCTCCCCGCTCCGCCCGGGGCTCCCCGCTCCTCGCTCCTCCGCCCCGCGGACCCCTCCCGGCCACTGCGGGCGGGAGCAGAGGGGGGACGGCGTCACGAGGCGGGGAGCCCGAGGTCCAGGGCGGGGCGCCGGGGAATCCCAGCCCGAGCGAGTCGGGGAGGTGCGGGCGCGGGCGGGAAGGGGAGGGCGGTGCGCAGGGGGAGGTGAGCGGAGCCGAGCGGAGCCTGCAGGCGAGGAGGAGGACGGCGAGAGAGGCCCCGCCCCCGCCTCTCCGAGCCGGCTCCTAGCCGCCTCCGAACCCGCTCACTTTGCCGCTTGCCTCTGGACGGCGGCGGGCGGCTGCCGGATCCGCGCCGGAGGGAGCGCGGGAGACGGGGAGACATCCCGCACCGGCGCCTCCTCTTGGCGCCTGCACCCCTCCGGGGGTCGGCGCCGCCGCCTTGGAGAGGGCACCCCTGCCTGGGAGGGGGCATCCCCCGGGCGCGAGGGGCGGCGGCGCGGACGCAGCCTTGTTCCCTGCCAGTGGGGAGCAGCGCTGGCGCCGAAGGGGACTCCCCAGCCACCTGCAGGTACCGCCGCGCGGAGGGCGCGTCGCTACCAGCGACGCCGGGCTGCCGAAGAGGCGAGAGCCGAAGGGCTCCCGGGCCAGCGAAGGGCAGGAGCGGAGTCCCCCGGGAGAGCGGGCCCCGACGGCGCGCTCCCCCGTCGGCCAAGGGCAGGCAGGCCCTGCGTGGCGGCCGGGGGCCGGCGGCGGGGCCCTCGGGCCGCGGGGCCCCGGGCTGCCTAGCCATGACCTTCGGGCGCAGCGGGGCGGCCTCGGTGGTGCTGAATGTGGGCGGCGCCCGGTACTCGCTGTCCCGGGAGCTGCTGAAGGACTTCCCGCTGCGCCGCGTGAGCCGGCTGCACGGTTGCCGCTCGGAGCGCGACGTGCTCGAGGTGTGCGACGACTACGACCGCGAGCGCAACGAGTACTTCTTCGACCGGCACTCGGAGGCCTTCGGCTTCATCCTGCTCTACGTGCGCGGCCACGGCAAGCTGCGCTTCGCGCCGCGGATGTGCGAGCTCTCCTTCTACAACGAGATGATCTACTGGGGCCTGGAGGGCGCGCACCTCGAGTACTGCTGCCAGCGCCGCCTCGACGACCGCATGTCCGACACCTACACCTTCTACTCGGCCGACGAGCCCGGCGTGCTGGGCCGCGACGAGGCGCGACATGGCGGGGCCGACGCAGCGCCCTCCAGGCGCTGGCTGGAGCGCATGCGGCGGACCTTTGAAGAGCCCACGTCGTCGCTGGCCGCGCAGATCCTGGCCAGCGTGTCAGTGGTGTTCGTGATAGTGTCTATGGTGGTGCTGTGCGCCAGCACGCTGCCCGACTGGCGCGCGGCGGCTGCGGACAACCGCAGCCTGGATGACCGGAGCAGGTACTCCGCCGGCCCTGGGAGGGAGCCCTCCGGGTAGGACGCATTACTTCTCTGCCCGTGCCGTCCGTCCTGTCGCGTCTGTCAGTCCCGTCCGTCCGTCCCGTCTCCGTCCTGTCTGCCTCCGGCCGGCCGAGTCAGGCTGGGTTCGGGACCCAGTGAGGCCCCGGGCGCGCCCAACTTCGGCGGGTTGGTCCCCACTCCCGCCCCTGCTCCCCGGGCACCGGCCGAGGGCGAAATACCCAGGAATGGGGATGGGCGGGTAGAGATAGACAAACTTCCCATCTTTGCAGTTTACTTTTGAGCCAATAGCAACTTGTTCATTAATTTTTCTAAACTTATGTTGTTAGTATTTAACAATTAATCTTGAGCTAAGCACATTTTGAATTATTTGCCAATATTTGGTGGTGTTTGAAAAGATGAATTCTTGTTATGGTGAAATGTGGTCTGCTATTCACTGCCCACACATTCTGTATGCTCTGCCTCCGGCATAATATGTGCTGTAATGGAATTGTTATAAAGGAGGTTGATTTAACGATAGACTCTAAATAATGGATATCTGTGCCCCTTTCTCCCTTCTTTTCCTACAAAATGTGGAGTTAGCAAAGCTTCTGTCCACCATTTGGTACCAAAGATTCACACTGACTTTCACAAGGTCCTTAATATGGGAAGGGAAACACCGTTACCTTGGGAAAAGAGAAAAATCTAAATTGTCTGCAGTCTGGAAGGAGTATTTGGGTAGTTTATGTTTTTTTTTTTTTTTTTCACTTTACTAGGATGAAAGGAAAATATTTCAATCTTTCCTAAGATCGTGTTACCTTTTTGATGGTGGTAACTTTTCTGTTTTTGGTACAAGTGAGCATATTTTGTTGGAGGATTAAGCAGACTAAAATTGGACTTTCAAGGGAGACAGCCTTTTGAGGCACAAAAACCAAATTGTATATTTTATTTTATCTGATTACTGTTTTAAGATCCTCCTTCCATTCACTTTTTAAATTTAAGATTGTGCCTTGTTATCTTTTCTTAACAGGCATGTGTATGTTAGGAATGGTGCTATGTGTCTTGATATTGCAGTGGATTACTTCCAAATAATGTTCTTCCTGTAGGGAGTAAAGATTTTTGTATAAATCTGGGAAGTAAATAAAATTGTCTAGTACCACACTGAGTGTATTACTGGTATGCCTTCTTGGCTTGAAATCCAGCATACAGGCTTTGAAAGGAAATTCATTAGGAAACATTTTCTTCTTTAGTGTATTAGGTTGTAACTGTTTTGAATTTACAGATAAGAATTATTTATTTGGCACTCTAACAATACAATGAAATTCATTTATTTACCTAAGTACATAAGTGCTCTTGATTTTTTTTTTCTTTCAATTTTTAAGAGGGCTGTAGGAAGATGACCATAAATGACTGGCTTTGAAATGATTCACTAGTAACTGTAGAATTCTAAGGTTAGTAAAGTCTTGAATTATATCAACAAAGGAAATAGGGGAATTGTACAGATATTGAGGAAGTTGACTAAACCAATACATAGGTAAATACAGTGAAATATCTGAAATATAATTTTGCAGAGAGGAGGGGAGTTTGGGGAGGGAGGGCAGTCTGAAGATCAGTAATATACATCATCTGGAGAGAAATGAGAGAGATAAATAGTAATTTTAGGGAGGGAGAGAAACAGAAGAAACCAAAAAGGGAAGTGACAGAGACAGAAAAGAGGGAGACTGCAAAAGAAGGGAAGAAAGAAGATAAGAGTGATGCTTATTTGTGTATATGTATTTAATGTATGTGTATAATTATTCAAGTCAGCGCTGTTTCCTAGATACCTAGATATTTCAGGCAAAAGCATGTTTTTCTTGGCTTAATGGCCCAGTTTTTAAGCGACTCTATGAGTGTAGGTATATGAAAACCAGTATCTGTAATCCCACACAGATAAACTGAAGGATGGCTGAATGAGGATGCTGCACATTACAGAGGAAGCCCCCACTGAGAGAACCTTTAAGCTGGCACTTTAAGTCTAATCACTTTGCTGCTTGTGGTTGCTCAAATTATTCTTTCCAAAACATCTTTTTCTTTTTTTTTTTTTGAGACAAAGTCTCGATTATTACCCAGGCTATAGTGAGTGCCGTGGTGTCAGCCTAGTTCACAGCAACCTCAAACTCCTGGGCTCAAGCGATCCTTCTGCCTCAGCCTCCCGAGTAGCTGGGACTACAGGCATGCACCACCATGCCCCGCTAATTTTATATATATATGTTAGTTGGTCAATTAATTTCTTTCTATTTATAGTACAGACTGGGTCTCGCTCTTGCTCAAGCTGGTTTCGAACTCCTGACCTCGAGCAATCCGCCCGCCTTGGCCTCCCAAAGTGCTAGGATTACAGGCATGAGCCACCGCGCCCGGCCAAAAACATCTTTTTGATTATTTGACCATATTGGCAGCTATGAAATAAAGCCAAAACGTCTTTTTTGGCCTTCAAGGCTCTTTGCAGTTTAACCACAACCTGCCATTCTTGACTTATCCACTCAAAATTTGCAAGCATCTTTTGAGTATCTGCTATGTTCAAGGCTCGGCAGGTGTTCCAACTATGGTGACTTTTTATTGTAAAGGAAAGTTGGTGATGTAGAAATCAGAGGCACAACTGATCTCTGAGAGTTGAGTTGTTCTGAGAAGGTCTTCAAGGTAGGAGAGGATGGAAACAAACCATGGTTGGAAGGTTGCAGAGGTTGTGCACTGCCCAATACTGGCAGGGGGTATCATTTATATAAACTATTTTAATGCAACCTGCACAACCATGTGTACCGTGCCTATGAACAAGAAGCTTTTCCAGGTAAAAGGAACACTATGGGCATAGGTGTGAAACCTGTATGTTATCTTTATGGAGTGTGAGTCCACTGATGAAGTGAGGTGGATAGAGAGCTGATGATACAATAGAAGGCCTTGGATTTGAGGGATAATAATTTTATTTTGCACACAGTGGCTAGCTATTAGCTGGTTTGTAGGGTTTGGGGTGAGTGGGTTATGCATGTAAAGTAACCTGTGTGGTAGGTGTGTACCCTGAATTGGAGAGATTAGACACAGGAGGATGAGTTTGGAGATCTTTGCAGAGGGAGAGGATGAAAGCTTAGATTGCTTTGTGGTGGTGAGATTGGAGAAGAAATAACAACTCTGGGAAATACTAGGAAGAATCAAAATTAATCCAGAGCATTGGAAGAGTACAGGCATTAGAGATGATTTATGTGGACTTCCAGGAGATAGGAGTCCTGCCTACCAACTACAGGCTTCATTTGTCCAGCCTCGTATACTCACTTGTTCTTGAACCATCCTAATGTCTCTTACTGTGCAATTCGTAGCACACTGAAATTGGATCATTCGTTAGCCCAGCTCAGATTCTGTTCTCTCTTGAAGCCTTTACTGACTTCCCTACTAGATGTGATGTTTCCTCCTAGACTTCATGAGGGATTGCTTATTTGGCATCTGTACTATTCTTCCTAGCACGGTAATTATTTTTTCATATAAACATGTCATATCTCCTAAGCTAGATCAGATGCAAAGCCCTAGAAGGCAGGTCAATTTTCTTATATTATTTATAATCATAGCATCCTTTAGAAAAAAGATTATTATTTAAGCACAGTAAATATCGTTTATATTACATTTCAAAACATAACCTTCCAGAAATATATGTTCTATGCATAGTTTGAAAAGCTGTTTGGGGTAAGGCATTGGGGCTTCAGGTGCTAGAACTCTTAGTTGAAACAGACAGAAATAAAAAACAAAACAATTATTTATCAAGAACTTACTGTACAAAAGGAATAAAGAGTATGGTTTCTTCTTTTTTTTTTTTCTTTAGATCAGGAATAAAGTTTTCTTTTTATTAGCCTTTGAAATTTTGAACTAACACACAGTCTGAAGTTTGGAAAAAATCTTGAGAAGTCTTCACAATTGATAATTTTAAAACTTTTTGTATATGGGGATGGTCCTTTTAAATTGATTTGTTTGGGATGGCTAATAATCATATCAATAATAGTTCAAAATTCAAAAGCTACAAAGGTAAGCCATTTTCCATTCCCCATCCATTCAGTTCTTTTTCCTAGATTTAACCAGTTGCTAGTTTTTTGCCATTTTAGAGATTTTATATATTTGCAAGCACATCATATATATTTACAAATAGAAAAAGAAGTATGATACATATACCACCCTGAAACTTGCTTTTTTATTCTTTTTGCCTTTTTTTCTTTTTCTTTTTTTAGAGATGGGGACTTCCTCTGTTGCTCAGGCTAGAGTATAGTGAGTGGCACAGTCATAGCTCACTGCAGCCTTGACCTCCTGGGCTCAAGTGATTCTCCTGCCTCATCTTCTGAAGGGGCCGGGACTACAAGTGTACATCACCACAGTTAGCTCCTGAAACTTGTTTTTTAACCATACAGTGTGTCAGGGTGATCCTTCCATATAAGTCTATAAAGAGCTTCATTTATGCAGCTGCATAGTATTCTACTGTATAGATGTCCCATCATTTCTGGACATTTGTGTTTTATCCTTGTCTGTAGGAAATGCTGTAGTGAATGTTCTTACACATATACATTATTTTGCTTTTGTGCAAGTATATCCATAGAATAAATTCCTGAAAGTTAAATCAAAGCGTACATTTATAATTTTTCATAAAATAATTGTAAATTGCTCTCCAAAAAGATTGTATTGTATGTTTTATTTATTTATTTATTTTGAGACAGTCTCACTCTGTTGCCCAGGCTAGAGTGAGTGCCCTGCACATCAGCCTAGCTCACAGCAACTTCAAACCCCTGGGCTCAAACAATCCTCCTGCCTCAGCCTCCCAAGTAGCTGGGACTATAGGCATGTACCACCATGCCTGGCTGATATATATATATATATATATAGTTATCCAGCTAATTTCTTTCTATTCTTTTAGTAGAAACGGGGTCTTGCTCTTGCTCAGGCTGGTCTCAAACTCCTGAGCTCAAACAGTCTCCCCACCACTTGGCCTCCCAGGGTGCTAGGATTACAGGTGTGAGCCACTGAGCCCA